GTCCCGTGTCGCTCTTGGACGTTCCCGAACCTGCATGCATCGGATTCTGATTCACTGGATTGTTTCAGAGCGGATGCCGGGTCGCCCGAACTCCACTCCTTGGTGTGATTCTGTGTCAGGGGAACGTGCCAGCTCGCCTCTGGCGAACATCGCGCTGTCAGAACTCAGTCCAGCTCCAAGTATCAAGCCGAGCCCGCTCAAACCAGGTACCCCAAATGGCCTAGCGGACGGACGAAGGAAACGAGGTGAAAGAGTTCTCACACTCTGGCAACCAGGAGTCCGAATCTGGTTCGATATTGAGAGTGACGATGGCTCGGCGAGGATCGAACACATGATGAGATGATTCGGACGCACGCACTTGAGGAATGATGCCTTAGTTTGAACCGAACAACAGTTCACCTTCGAGTCCTTATCCTACAGTGGGGGCGTTGACCTAAGGAACCCTAAATAAGGAACGGGCCCCCTTTCTTCCATACGTTGAACTGCGATTTCCCATGGAAAACCTCAGGAAAACAGAAGGCAAACTGTCGAACAATCAAGGAACACCGAGCCCCTCCCCAACGAAAAGGGTTCCTTCTTCCGGGCCCCGGCTGTATCCTCCACGTTGGCGAAACACAGGGCCAGACCCCATCCTCCCCCCGTCCCCTCTCACCTTTCCCCCCCCCCCCCCGTCACGCGTAGCCCTGGGCCGAAACATAGCGGCTCGCGAGCCAGGCATCTGCGAAGCGGGCCATCTGCTGGTGGCCACTCAACTTGCGACGTGCTCGAGCCCGACTTCAGACCGTCGTGCGCAGTCCGTAACCAAATCGGAACACACGCGGGGCCAACGCACACTTTTAGTCTTCATTCGTGATAGCACCGGCCCCGAGGACGAGCTGGAGCATCTGCTTGCGCCTTACGGACTCCGGAGCGCCCCTCCCTCACATGGAGACGCCGGCTAGACCTCATCACCCAGGTCGTCGCCGAACGCCCGACACACGGAATCTGACGTCGGTGCCTTGATGGCGTTGGTTTCGAGCCGCAACGCCCTCGTGCCGCAACTCCCCGAAGCTATCGGCGATGCCGCCGACCACCGCTGCTGCCCAAAGAGGTTCCGACGGGCCTGCCGCGCAACAAATTGTCGAGGGTACTGGACTGCTTCCGCGACGAATTCGCGACAGTGCTGGCCTCCCGCGACGGATTCGCGAGAGTCTTGTTGATGCCTCCCGCGGCAGGATCGCGAGTCCTGGCCTCCCGCGACGGATTCTCGAGAGTCCGCTGCCTTCCGCGACGCCTTCGCGAGAGGCCCGACCCTTGCCGTCGCTCGGACGTCCATTTCCCGTGCATTGTTCGGTTTCGTGCGTGCTTTTGTTGCTCGATGGTCCAGGATTGTCCTCGATGGTTTTCGTCGAGGAAAAATGCACACGTCCGAGCGATGCCAAGCGACCTCCCGCGAGAACAGATCGCGAGAAGCCGCCCTCCGAGGGGACGGTTCTCCGCCCTGCAGTTTTCTATTCCCGTGCCGTCTCTCGGGGCCTGGCAAGGGGGGCCCCCAAGGGCCAGAGCCTGGGGGCAACAAACCAGGGTCGGGAACTCTACGTCGTCGGAAGTCTTCGGCCGACGTTGCTCGACGGACCCTTGATTTTCCAGCGCTTGTACATATTCATTCATATATATATATATATATAAATACTACGCCGTTACAAAAGTTCGTCACGTTTCATGAGAGCTTGAAGGTGGCATGGGTTTCGTGTCTTCCTTCCGCGTGAGCAAGCGGGCAGAGGCTGACCACTGCCCTGGCCGCGCCGAGCTGGCCCCCCCTTCCCCCTTAGAATCCTAGCGGACTGAGTCAAGAGCGGTCGGATCAAAGATCCGGGATTTCTAAAAGTGGGATTTCATCCCTTACTATAATAGTATAGATTTAAAACGGGACATTTTGAGATCCCGATGTGAATTCACACGGTTCCAGAAATCCCACCAGGGCGGGATTTGTCTTTGCTGATGCAAGATGATCGACTTTTACTTTATGACGAAACTTTTGTAACGCCGATGTATATATATACATATATACACATATATATATATATATACATTTATATATATATATATTATATACATATATATATATATATATATATATATATATAATAATATATATATATATATATATATATATATATATATATATATATATATATATATATATATATATAATCATATGTATATATTCATATGTATATATATACATATATATACACACAAAACAAGGCAAGCTCTAGCAGGCGAAGAACAGGGGGCGGCCGCCAGGGACGCTTGCCCCAGGGCCGCGGCACAAATTCTACCCTGACGTGCCACCGTAGGGGCATGAACTTTTCAGCCGCCCTGGCACAAACGTCCCAAACAGCGAGCAACATTCATTTTATTCCGCTTTTCGCCCGTTTGAACAGAGGCCTCCCAGATCGGGTCCGGGTAATGTCAGCTTGTGATTAGCAAATCCGTGGGGGGCGCGTGTTTCAAACATAATGCCCTGCTCAGGCGAATCGCGGGGTGGCGCCCGCTGGATTGAAAATCGACGGCGGCGGCGCCAGTGATTAGCGCCGTCGCCCGGCCGCCAGCGAGAAGGCGACAGAAACGATACAGACTGGGGGAGGGGGGCGGGGCGGGATGCAAGGGCGGCAGAAGCAAGGACCGTGAACCATGGCGACAACTGTTCGAAATGACGAAAAACTGCTGTCGGCTCTCGCCCCCGCACTCTCCGTGCTCGTTTCTGTCGAGCCGATGCGCCTCCTTTGCCCTGGCCGCAGCGAGGGGGGCGCCAGCTGCCTCGCCGGGCCCGCGAGCAGGGCGGGCTGGACGGACGGGGGGCGTGGCCAAACGGAGATTCCCCAAGCAGCTCACGGTGCCGATTCTCCGAGCGCCTCCTGGCGCCGAAAGCGGCCATGCATCGAGGACTGAGGAGGAGGAGGAGGAGGAGGAGGAGGAGGAGGAGGAGGAGGAGGAGGAGTGAGGAGGACTGAGGAGGAGGAGGAGGAGGGAGGAGGAGGAGGAGGAGGAGGAGGAGGAGGAGGAGGAGGAGGAGGAGGAGGATGAGGAGGAGGAGGAGGAGGAGGGCCCCCCGGCGGGGCGACCGCAGCCAGCTGCGCGCCGCAGGCCTCGCAGCCCCCCGTTCCCTCCCCGGCTTTTCGCCCGACCCGGGGCGGGCGGTCCTCCGCTAATCTGATGACCCGTCTGTCGCGGTCTGTCTGTGGTCGTCCACGACGACGACGACGAGCAGGCCCGCTGTAGTCGACGACGACGACGACTACGACGACGACGACGACGAGGAAGAAGAAGAGGACGAGGACGAGAACGCGGACGAGGAGGACGGACGGCGGTTGCCGCAGTTGGGGGGAGTTGCTGCGTAGGCCCGCTGTAGTCGACGACGACGACGACGACGACGACAACGCACTGCGGATGATAGTCGACGACGACCTGCCGACGGCGGCCGCGGGGAGCAGGAGGGCGGCCGCCGCGAGGAAGCTCGGAGGACGAGGTAGCCATACCGCCACCCTTGCCTCGCTTTCCCCATCTTGGGCCTCCCGGGAGGCCCTCGTCGCAACGGCCGGATTCGCCTCGAAAGCTTGGTCAGAACGCACCCCGGGAGAGATCCAGGGAGCAGCGGTATCGGTGCCTTGTGGTGCCCCCCGAGGAGGAGGAGGAGGAGGAGGGGGAGGAGGAGGAGGAGGAGGAGGAGGAGGAGGAGGAGGAGGAGGAGGAGGAGGCCTCCCCCTCGAGGGGCGGCGGGCAGAACGGGAGGCGGGTCCCGAAGGGCCGCTGCGAGGTCTTCCCTCGCTGCGCCCTGCTCGGGGACATGCCTGCCATTTTGCAAGAGCCCGGAACGGGAAGGTGGGCGCCCGAATTATCCCGGGTAACTCGGGCCCGGTGTAACTCGGGTTCGGATTCCTCGGATTCCCGAAGAACGAACCCGAGTTAGCCCTGACCCGAGTTACCGCTGATGATTTGGGGCCCTGGACGTCCGAATTATCCGGAGTAACTCGGGCCCAGGGTAACTCGGGCTCGGATTCCCGAAAAACGAACCCGGGTTAGCCCTGACCCGAGCTACAACTGGTGATTCGGGGCTCTGAGCAGGGAACGGGGATGAGGAGAAGCTCGATCGACAGTACCTTGAGGCATCTCCGGCATCCCGAAGCAAACTTCTCCTGCCCAACCGGAGAGGTGCAACGCGGTAGATTCCTCGTCGGAGCTCACGGGCAACACCAATCATCATGGCGCTAGTAGGCCGCGGAAATGATCGCCTGCGCACCCCTCGGCGGCGAGCGAGGGGGGGAAGTGAGAAGGGGCGGGCCTTCTCAGAAGGCTCGGAAGTCCCCTGGCCTTCTGAGAAGTTTTCGAAGCCTTCCCCGAAGACACAGAGAAAACCTCTGAAGGGGCGCGAGGGCTTCTGAGAAGGCCTCCTGCTTATCACTTCCCCTCCTTCGCTCGCCGCCGAACCTCGCCACAGCCGCACTGGATCCGCTCCATGTGATAGGCCAATTGTCCACCACCACTACCATAAGTAGGAGAGGGATGAGGAGGAGGAGGAGGAGGAGGAGGAGGAGGAGGAGGAGGAGGAAGAGGAGGAGGAGGACCTCCTCATCCTCCCTTCTTCCCCGTCCTATGGTAGCGGTGGTGGAAGCTTTGCCCATCACCACGAGACCTGCAACGCTCCATTTTCCCGGCGCAAAATCTGCCAAGGGCTGCTGCCCTCGCTCGAAGACTACTCGCGGCTGAAAACTCCACACGTGGCCTGGCGCCAGCGCTCGGCCGGACGGGGTGCTGCAGCGCGAGCATGTGGCCACACGGTGCCCAGAAAACGACGTGCCGCCGAAGGGGCACGAGGCACACCGGCGAAGGAAAAGTCGCAGCTCACTGAGCGCTTCAAATGGACGGCCCGCGCGGCCGGCTCGCGTCATATCCTCGCCCTGCTCTCGTCTCCTCCCACGCTCCCACTGCCTACTCGCGGCAAGGCAAAGACCCTCCACTCAGCTCACCTCGGTGATCAGACCCTGGCCGATGGTCTTGCCTCCCTCGCGCATGGCGAAGCGCATGCCCGTCTCGATCGGGGTGGCGGCGATCAGCTCACCCTCGATCGTGACGTCGTCGCCAGGCATCGCCATCTGCACCGCGTTCCCCTCGGAGCTCGCCATGGTCACCATCTTCCCGGTGACGTCGCACGTGCGGAAGTAGAAGACGGGCATGTAGCCGGGCATGATCGGGTTGCTGCGGCCTCCCTCGTCCTGGAGAAGAGGAAGACCCATCCCCACCCCTGGTACAGTGGAGACCAGTCCACAAGACACCTTCCACAAGAAACCCAATCCTGAGACCCCCGGGACGCCCATGGATTTTTGGTGTGGGAACGTCACGCTTTCCACAGCAAAACCTTCGAAACCCAAGAAACCCAGGGCACCCTGGCGGCAGGGTCGGGACTGGCAGTGGGGTGGGAGTTCGGGGCCGAGGATCCAGAACCCCCCTCCCAGTCCCAACCGCCCTGGATCGCCAGCTCGGGAGTGGAGGTCGGGACTGGGGGTGGGCGTGTAGATTTCGCTTTCTGATCGTCCTTGCTGGACAGGTAGATGTTGGCCTTGAACTTCGTGTGCGTCTTGGTGGCGCCCGGGGCGCAGATCACCTGCCCGCGGGAAATGTCGTCGCGAGACACGCCGCGGCACAGCACACCGACGGTGTAGCCCGCTGGGCCCTCGTGGGGCGCCAGAAAAAGGCGAGGGAAGATCCTGACGACTCTGGCCTCTCCCTCCTCCTCCTCCTCCTCCTAGCCGCCGTCCCGGCCCGAGTGGTTTGTGGGAGCCGTGCCAGGCACGGCGAAGCCATTCGCGCGGGACTGCTGCGACACGCGCCCGCCCCCCCAGCGCGCCCAGCAGCCACGGCGTGCGGCAGGAGGGCCAGCCGTGAAGCAGGAGGTGAACCAGACTGGCACCGTCGAGCCAGGGCTGAATCGCCACAGCATCAGATCTACACGAACAACAGCATAGCGGTATGACGTGGAGGACACAGCGCAGCCATTCATCAGCGCGCTCGAGACAACCATCAAGACGAAGATCACAATGGCAAGGGCATCTACAAGGACAACGCAGGTACTTGTGGGAGTGCCCGGCATGCAACCATCACAACAAGTGGGAGATCACAAAGTGTGATAAGTGCCATCCGATTCAGCCAGCAGCCAAGCCAGCTGCTGACCAACCTACATCCTCCCCCACGTGGAGGCGCTCCAGCTCGCGACGCCCAGCGTACAGCAACAGCATGGAGGAGGACGAGACCATGAATATCATGCCTTGCTCGCCAGAGGAGGCCCGCGCACACAGGCGCTGGCAGGAGCCACCTGAGAACCCTCAGGAGATTGGTGAGTACAGAAAGGCCCTGGGCTCTACATTGGAGGGCCTAGAACGTCAGATCAAATGTTCACAGGAGCTCAAGATGGATGCATCACAAGTACAAGGCTTACGACATGAGTACGCCGTAGTATTGTATTAGCTCATGTACTCTCGCACGGCCTCTGCCCGCACGGCCAAGCAGCTCAACTTTGTCAATCGAGCAAAGCGCAGGCTGACGGACGCCACACAGAAGCAGGTAGAGGCGCAGATTTATCTTGACTCCTGTGCCGCACAAGTACACGCATTACACGAAGAAGTGGCACACGCTGAAGACCTTCTCGAACATTTCCAGGACCTGGAAGACGAGGAGAAGCAGGACAACGAGCGCAAGCAGGCAGAGGTGCGCACACATATGTCGCGCACTCGTAAGCCAAGCGCAGCAGACTACATGGATGAAGATGAAGAGGAGGACTCCGACGGAGGCCCTCTCGCGCCAGCAGGAGAAGCCTCTCGGTCGCGTACGCAGTGGCCGGCTACCACGCGCTCGCCGAGCACACCAGCGGGCACACGATCACCAAGCACGCCTACCACACGAACTCCGCCTGGAGCTACACCGTGCTCGGGCTCAGCGGATTTGAAAGCGGAATTCTCCACCCCAGGGTTGCTAGCGAGTATGCAGCATTCGCAGCAGGCCCTCATGGCGCAACTCATAGAGTTCAAGACGGCCATGAACACCATACAGAAGCAGCTCACAGACGTCAGCGTCAACAGAAATAATACCAGAGAAGAACTTCAGCGACAAATTCAGGCACTACAAGCACAGGCATCATTGACATCTCCTACACCCACGCCAAGAAAGGATAAGGTCAAGTCCAAGTCGACTACTCCCGACGTACGCACAGAAGGACGTCGACGGCTGGAAAGTGCGTTCGCCCAAGGAGCCGAGGCAGAAAGACCCAGATCTACCTCGCCCAGGCGCTCCACGGGCCAGGCACCACCCAAGCAGGTCAAGATCAATGAAGAGATGGCCAGGGATTCCAAGCATATGCGACATGATGAACCGCATGAGAAGGCGGCGGGAGAAGACGAGTCAGACATGGCAGTGGCAGCGTTGAGCGGAGCCAGCAGCCCAGCAGGCCAGCAGGCAGTTTTTCGCGTGGCAGCCAATCTGCCCACACCGCATTAACATCAGCTGAGCGCGTTTGGCGCTCAGCAGAATATTCTGGCAGGCTCGCTCAGGTCCCCCTTTTAGCCCCCTCTCAGCAGCCAGCCAGTGTACAAAATCCGACTCCAGCTAACACAACAGCGGACCGCTCACCACATGAGCATGGATTACCTGAATCCCACATTAAGTTAACTACGCAGGCTCCTAAGGGGAACACCAGAGGAATCCAGAGGTCGCCAATCCCCGATCTCCGACCTACTCAAGAGCTCATGGAACGCAGGTTGCCTGTTCATACGGCTAGGGACCCTCTTTCGCGGGCTCCTTACTGGCACCCCTCTTCTACCCAGGCCCTTCCAGGACTCATCAAATACGATCCCAACTTGAGGTCTGCCCTACGGTTTGGACACCCGAAATGGGTACCGAAAGAATGGGCAGCATGCCCAACAACAAATGTTGTCCCGAACCAACAGCGGCCGCTGTTGGGCGGGCGGCCTCCTGTCTCAAATGAACACAGGCCGCGGCGGCGCGGACAGCGAGTCCTGTTCAGAATGAACAGGAACTGCTGTTGGGCATCGTACCCATTCTTTCGGTACCCATGTCGGGCGTCCAGAGACGGGGAATCTGCACTGGTGCGACCGCAGGAGGGTACCGACACAACGGACAAGTGTGCGGGCCAGCTTGGGCGCTGCGCATCATGGCTGTCTCAGTATTAGGTGTCATTTTGCTCGGCTGCTTGGCAGGTTCACTCCCCGAATGGGAAGCAAACGATTCAACCACTCCACAGAGGACAGAGTTGGAAGCCGCTATTTGGACCATGGCATGGGTCATGCAGTCACAGTTCAGCCCTCTACCTCTCTGCGTGCGCAGGGATAACACGGCCGTTCACAGAGCATATCAGGGAGGACATGTTAGAGGAGCGCTCAGTATTACCAAACTTCTACTCGACAATCTTACACAATGTATACGTGCACGTGCTAATACGCTTACCTTCCAGCATGTTCATGGTCATGTTGCGAATCCATGGAGCGAATCTGTTGACACAATTGCCAGGTTGTCTGCCATATCAGTGCTTCCCACTTCTTTCGAGCCACAGTGGCGCACGCTGGTAGAACAAGAACCTCATTGGAGGGTCATGCCGAGGCTTCGGCCGAGTTACGTCTCACCCGAAGCTTGCAACTCACTACTTCTGACGGCCGACCATACCATACACATCGCCAAAGAGCCCCACACGGACCCCCAACGGATCGCTCCTGGGCCCAACACGGTCCCCGATAGGAAACATAAGAGCCTCACCATCTTATGCTGGGCGACCATAGCCAACGTGCATACCATGGACCCTCGAGCCTTGCAAGGACCCCAGCAGCCCCCACTGCTAGCAGGCCTCAGCATCACTGGTCGCATGACGCATCTGTCTGCTCTGTCAGCGGCCAATCCACACATGCTCGTGGGCACGGTCGAGACAAGCAGGCATAAAGCTGGGGACACACATGTGGGAAGCCACCTGGTACTACACGCCGCAGCTCTACAGACGGGTGGAGAGGGATGCTCACTCGGGGTCAATGCAGAATGGGAATCTGCACCCTCTTGCCGTATTGCAGCGCCAAGCTTTCAGCACAGCCCAGCGCTGTATGACGACTCTGTGGCATCACAACTATTCAACTACCTGCTCTCGCAGTTCCGACAACCCGACCTTGGTATACATGCTACCGACCATTCTAAGGACTGTGACGACCACCTCAGAAGGGTGATGGACACGGCTCCTCCGATACGCAATACGCCAACGGGCAAGCTGCAAGAGGGGAGATCCCTCTTTCTCAGGCTCCGACGGAAGCTACCGCACGGAGTCAACCAGGCAAGCTTGCATGCGCTCTTTTTTGCATGGCAGGCTCTCTGTGCAGCGGCGCCGAGGTGGCTACATACCAGATACGACTACACCCTCAAGGGTCAATCTAACATCGACTCGCATGATTTTCTCACAGACACACTACTGTTCTCAAGGTTGCATTTCAAAACAGGGACGTGGCCACAGCTATCAGCTTCACAGCACGCGAACCCTCAGCATGTGAAGATCAACGACTATCGACAAGTTTTGCGCAGTCGGCACAGTGCGGAACATACGGGATGCGACATGTACGTACTTGCGCGCGCACAGAGAGCCACGCTTACCATGGCTCTGAGGATTTACAGGCTCCGACTACTTGGATGTATCATGCAATTCAGTACTCACACACTACACGGTCTTGTGGCACAAGAAAACCGTACGAAGCACGAGCGCAACGGGACATCATGGTTGCATCGTATGTTAGATGTCATGGACTGGATGCGCACTGTGCATGACAGGACGCGTGACACACCTAATCCGAAGGACGACGGTACCAGGCGGGAACAGCGCATTTTGTGCTATACTTCAGCATGGAGGCGCATGATGAACGCCGCCATGAGAGCAGAGGCAACGGCCCAGGCAAGTGCTGCCCTGGCGCGGAAAGCCTCAGACATTTTTTTCGAGACGGTACGGACAGCAGGGGTACCCGTACCAATTACAGATCCGACTCATCCCCTCCTCCCTACTCCAGCTACGACTACAGAGCTACTGTGCATGTGGTATACCTACCAAGCTACCGCTTCCAAGGGACTACGGCGGCACAACATACGCACACATTACAGCTTTGTGGGCAATAGTATCAAGAGTCATGGGGGAGGAATACCTTTGCATGTTATGCTCCACATCCTTCCCCATCAGGCGGGTCCTACGCAATCATCTCGCTTGGTGTCTCGCCTATTTGTTGCACGGCACGGTGCTCAGCGCCGGAAGAGCTGAGGAGCTCAAGCAGCAAGAAGTCAATGCAGGACTGGGGCGCTGGAGGAGCGCCTACCCTGCAAGAGTGGACATACCGCCTGACGGCCTATACTCCGCCGCCATGCTAGTCGCCTCGCACCTTGCGAATAAAGAAGCCAGGGAGGTACTGCTCACTCCTGGAGCATTCTATGAATCTACACAGGAGGACCTATCTGGTCAGCGACGACATGGGGACATCCAGGCATGGGTGGATGGACACCACACGATTACACAATATGAAGTGATAATGCTCTGTGTGGACATATCCAGCTACACAGCCAACTTCGACCAATACACCCATAACGACTGTAGCCCAGAGACCATGGGTAAGGCCTCCAACAGGCTCCTGGGGTTCCGCATGCCTACAG